AGAGGGGAGCAGTTGGGGGCAACCAGGCCGGCAGGGGGGCAGTTAGGGGCAATCAGTCAGCACGCAGAGGGGGTGAGGGGCGATCAGGCTGGCCGGGGGAGGAGGGGGGCAGTAAGGGGCGACCAGGAGGCAGGAAGGTGAGCGATTAGGAGCCTGTGGTCCAGGATTGTGAGAGGGCAGTCGGACATCCCCCAAGGAGTCCCAGATTGGAGAGGGTGCAGGCTGGGCTGAGGAGAGGGACCGCCCCCCGCCCCCCTCCATGCACAGATTTTGTGCACCAGGCCTCTAGTATAGAATATAGAGAGCTCAAAGAATTGTTGCAGGAGGGCTGAAGAAACAGTTCTAGGTCAGGTTTCAAAAAATAACTACTGGAGCACACTTGAGAACTACTTCTAAGAGTCCTGCTGCTTCTGCACAGTTAGGAAACTGCCAGATCAGGAGCATCTTCTGCGGCTGCAGTTTCTAGGACCAAGATGCCTGTGCCTTGAACCAGCAGCATCCATATTAACAAGTTGGTATCATAGCTGCTGTCTTTGTCAGTTAGCCTCTTCTGTTGTCATCTACATCTTCGTTGATAAAGCAAGCCATTTACTCTTATGGTCTCCTTTAATATTCAAACTCAGTAGTGTAGTTAGTGTTAATTTTTGCTAATTCTATATTATCCTTCAAGAGCCAGTTAGGGCTTTTACACATTGCATGCCTATGGTTATGTAGGTGTTTTTACTTCTGGTTGTTACAATTGAATACAAATATAATGAACCATTAAGTTTGCCTCCAGAGAGATTTTGGGTGAGTGCCCACTTAAAATTGGATTCCACATTTTTTTTAATGAAAAACTGATCAAAGAAAATTCCTTTCAGGATTGAAAAACTCCTAATTCATGAAACACAAAATCTTGCCTATGTATCCTGTTGGATTTTATTCTTTCAGTTACATCATTTTAGAAACTGCTGAGGTAGAAAATGGATAGGAGTCACTAAAAAAATTTATAACATTATACATACCTTAATTTCTTTATTTTATTAACAAATTTGATTTTTTTTGAAGTTTTACGTTAATAGAAATATAAGCAGTTAGTATGCAGAGTTCCCATATAACCTCCCAACACACAGTTCTCCTGTTTTAACATTTTGCATTAGGATGACACATTTGTTTTAATTAATGAATTAATGTTGATACATTATTAACTAAAATAGTTATTTTTATCTTTCCCTGATTTTTACCTAGTATTATTTTTGTTTCAGGATACTATATTGCATTTAGTTGCCATATTTCCTTAGATTCCTCTTACCTATGACCATTTCTCATACTTACCTTGTATTTGATTACCTTGACAGTTTTGCGGTATACTGGTTATGTCAGGGGTGGGCAAACTTTTTGACTCGAGGGCCACAATGGGTTCTTAAACTGGACCGGAGGGCCAGAACAAAAGCATGGATGGAGTGTTTGTGTGAACTAATATAAATTCAAAGTAAACATCATTACATAAAAGGGTACGGTCTTTTTTTTTTTTTTTAGTTTTATTCATTTCAAACGGGCCGGATCCGGCCCGCGCACGGGCCGTAGTTTGCCCACGGCTGGGTTAGGTAAAGTGTAGGTGGACCCCCTCTGAGACTTTGGCTTATGTTTTTCTCATATTAGATTGGGGTCGTGGGTTTTGGGGAGAAGGATCACAGAGTTTAAGTGCCATTTTCATTACATCATATCAAGGGTACTTACTTACTATCATCACACCTTATGACTGGTGACATTAACCTTGATCTCCTGGCTGAAGAAATATGTGTCAGGTTTTTACTCTTTAAAAAAAATTGTATTATGAACATGGAAGTAATATTGGTATTTTTACTACTTCATAGATTATTGCTAAGGGCAATGAAAGAGAAACAAGTATAGGATGAAATTTCTTAGACCAAGATTTGCTTTCTGGTCTAATAACCTAAGATGGCATATGGGCAAATCCCTTGCCCTCTCAATATCTCTTCTACCCTTAGAAATAAGTAGCAGATAAAATATTAACACCTTTTGTAATAGATGTGCCATTTAGGAAAAAAATGGTATTTGTCTTAGGGGCTTTCAAAGGACATCTAATAGAATTTTTTTTAAAGGTTTTATTGAAGACTGATTTTATGGTAATATAAAAAGAAATGATAGCACTATAACATAACAGGACAGCTATTTTAAGAACTGTTTAAATTTTTTAAAATCAGAATTACTTCTAAAGTCATTCACACCCCTAAGAGAAGAAAAAGTCAAAGTAGAGGGTTACTTTGTGGGTTGTTTTAAAGCAGGGGAAGGTGTTTACTAAATGCTATATCACATTTTTGGGATTGAAATTAATTTGTTCACTTTTCAAAAGATTGAAAGAAAATGATGAAAAGATTGAAGGATAAGCCTAAGAGAAGAAACTAGTATTTCTTTACCAGCATTAGTTGTCCTTAGTGATGAGCTCTTTATATAAAGGAAAGAGGCTTAGTAATTTACCCAAGGCTATTCCACCTAGTCCCACTAACTTGCTACCATTTATCAGAGCCCATGCTCTCCACCACTACACCTAGCCCAAACCTAAGACAGCCCATTAATAAAAAGTTTATTTATACCTTTATCAATTATATTTCCATAATTATAAAGTTAATACAGCAACAAAATTTTTTTCTTTTAAAAATCTAGTTAGTTTTTTATGCTGTCATAGCATATTTTAGTCATGCCATTCCAGTGGAAAGGTTCTAAGCTTTTTAAAGACAAATGCCATGATAGGATTGATAACTGTTGCGATAATTTGACAAGTTCCATATGCATATTAAATGCTTAATCTGTGAAAAGCATTAAAAACTACTTATGTGTTCATTTGTTTAATAGTCATTTACTTTAATGAAGTTGTTATGGAACAAATTAAAAAGGTATTCTTACTGTTGTTGCTTCTTATAACACTGAAATTTTTCCTATATGTTAAGAAAATTACAAATAGTTTAATTGCTATATGCATAATAATAGAGTTTAAAGTTTCAAAATAACTTAAAAAGGAAGCAAAAAATAAGACTGGATGTTCTTTTAATTTTTTACATGAAAAGCATTATTGAGTAATAACATTGTTGTGTTTTGTTTTTGTTTTGGGGGATTTACTTTAGTTCTTAACAGATAATTCTTCTTCAGACCAAGGACCAAATAAGATTTTTGATCTTTGCGTAGTATGTGGAGACAAAGCATCAGGTAACATTAAAAATAATTTCCTATATCTGTTGTGTTGTTAAAATAACTGTCACACTACCATGAAAGTAAAAAGAAAAATAAAGGCGCATGTAGTTTTTATGGTTCATATTTGTAGCTAATGAAATTTACCTGATTTTTCCCCAGAGCTTTTTATTCATGTAAAGATTTTTCTCTTCAATGCAGTTTAATTTGATCTGTCAGTGAAAAAAATTTATATTTCAGAGCATTATGAAAGACGGTTACCATTTTTGTTGTTGTTAATCCTCACCTGAGGATATTTTTCCCATTGATTTTTAGAGAAAGGCGAAGGGAGAGAGGAGAGAATGAGAGAGAGAGAAACATTAATGTGAAAAAGACACATCAATATGGTTTCCTCCCACAAGGTGCAGATTAGGGCCAGGAATCAAATTTGTGTGACACTTTGGTCCAAGGACCGACACTCTAACCACTGAACAAACTGGCCAGTTTACCTTTTGAAGGTAAACTGAAGGTGTGGAAATTTTTTTTTAATGTGACACCAGTTTTGTCAGAGAATTGGTAAAAATGAGTTGTGATCCTTGGTAATATATAACACTAAGTTGGTAACCTACCTGTTGAGCCCTGTTCTTATTCTAGCAGTACAGAGTAACTTGAATTATTGAGGTGGAAAAAGCTCTGGTTAACCTTTATTTAATGCTTTGCATAGCCCATCAGGCATTTCTCCAAACCTGTTACTAGAATTCAGGGCTATGTCATTTTAGTTCTGGCTATTGTTACCTCATGCCAGAAATACAAACCCATGTTCATTCAAATGTATTTATAGGTGCCAGTGTGATATAATTTAAGGGCCCAGTTTGTTTTCTTTAACCCTTTGAGTGCCAACGAATATCCTAGGAACTATGCTAAAATTGCAAAGGCATTTTTGCTGATTTTACAGCAGTTTAGGAAAAAAATTATGAAAATTAGGCAGATAAATGCCAGTGGTCAATTTTAGAACTATAAACATTCGGCATCATAAGTAATCTGCACTTAAGTGCCGTCTGTCAATAAAGAGTGAACTACTAGCATCTAATAGTGACACTGCAGGAGGAGTGTGATAGCGCTCCCGGCACTTTTGGGGGAAAGACAGGTGGAGTGCGATCACACTCCCTGGCACTCTAGAGGTTAATTTTCTTTAAACTAGCCCATAGCTTAATTACAAAAATCTTCACTAGAGCTTTACTTAGAGTGTGTTCAGTTTGTTAATAGATGTATGCCAAAGAAATGGTTTGTGAAATGATAGGCTAATCAGAGCACTACAGATGCTTCCAGAGTTTTAAAAAATGGAACCTACAGTGGTACATTTATACCATGGAATACTATGCAGCTATAAATAAAGAAGGATCTCTTACCCTTTGAGACAGCATGGAGGGACCTGAAGAGTATTATGCTAAGTGAAATAAGCCAGTCAGAGAAAGACAAGTATCATATGATCTTACTCATATGTGGAATCTAGTGAACAAAATAAACCCATAGGCATAGAAGCATGGAACAGACTGATGAATCTCAGAGGAAAGATAGGGGTATGTAGGGAGAATTTAACCAAAGAACATACATGCATATATGCATAACCCATGACACAGACAATAGTGTGGTGAAGGCCTGGGCAGAGGGAGTCAATGGAGAAAGAAGGGAGGACATTTGTAATACTTTCAACAATAAAGATAAATTTTAAAAAATTAAAACAAATTTGGTGGACAAAAAAAACATGTGGAACCCATAGCGAGGAGGGATTATTATAGTTCAGATACTAACTGATATTATATCCTTTTTTTGGAGCATAGTTTTTAGATTGAAATATGCAGTATATAATAACTAATTTGTGATATCAGAAGTGAAAATAGTTATTATGTTATAAAATTAAAAACACTGGTATTGTTTAATATATCTTATCAGAGAATATGGTTGTTTTCATTTTCTGTTTGGTAACTCCTAAACTCAAACTCAAAAATCTCAGTTTCATCTCATATATGTTGTTTAAAGGGAAGAAATGGGCTTATTTCATTTCTATTCTAAAATATATGACTTTTAAATATTTTGTCTCTAGGACGTCATTATGGAGCAGTAACTTGTGAAGGCTGCAAAGGATTTTTTAAAAGAAGTATCCGAAAAAATTTAGTTTACTCATGTCGAGGATCTAAGGACTGTATTATCAATAAACATCATCGAAACCGCTGTCAATATTGCAGGTTACAGAGATGTATTGCGTTTGGAATGAAACAAGACTGTATGTATTAGTTTTAAAGGAGAAAATTAAGAATTCAGGCAGACTAGAAGTATGTTAAAATTAGCACATTAAAACGTCAATTTTATATGCTTTTTAATTTATAGTTTTCCAACTAAAATTATAGAAATATATACATATGTATTTTTAATTCACACAACAAATAGTTTTTGAGTGCCTATATGCTAGTTGTGTATTTCTAGTTTGAACATGGTAAAAAAAAAAGCATAATTAACTAAGTTTAGTTTTTGGCAGCTATTATTGATTGAGCTCTAACTATGCCTAATAACTTTCTTATTTTCACAGCAAAATTCTATTCAGTAGGTATTACTGTTACCTATTTTACATTTGAGTAAGCAAGTTTAGTAACATGTTCTAGGTCACACAACTAATAAGTGGCAAAACTTGGATTTGAATATTGGTAGCTTTCAGTGCACAGGAGGATGCCCAACCATCTGAGCCCCACTGGCCAGGCTTGACTGAGATTATAAAAAGTAAATTCATCTACATTTCTACCACAGCAGTGACAGAAAGAGGAAAGAATTCAAAATGGCCACTTTTACATTAGTTATTACAGTTTACTAAAGCAGCTTTGTCGAATTTGCAAATAATTTCTAAAGATTGATGGTTGGTTATCTTTGGAGTTCAGTTATAATAACCATGTCTTCAGTGAGCAGCATTGCTGACCTAGAATTTACATTTATAATTGCCTGTAAATTCTGCATTGTGACAGTTTACCACATTTTTGTAGCTGTTCAGTGTGAAAGAAAACCCATTGAAGTATCACGAGAAAAATCTTCCAACTGTGCCGCTTCAACAGAAAAAATCTACATTCGAAAAGACCTTCGAAGCCCATTAGCTGCAACTCCTACTTTTGTAACAGATAGTGAAACTGCAAGGTATAGTAAATACAACAAACAAAACATTAAGTAGCTGGTCATTTGTTTTTCTTCCCACTGAAACGAAGGCTGAAACTTGTTCTTATTTGTTACAGATCAGCAGGACTGTTAGATCCAGGAATGTTTGTGAATATTCATCCGTCTGGAATAAAAACTGAGTCCTCTATGCTGATGACACCAGATAAGGTGTGTTTAGTGCAATTAATCTAAAGATTAAACATTTTTAAGCTTTTAAAATGGTTTCCTTTATTTCTATCAATTTAGTCAATTGATTTGGTCCTAAATATTCCCTATTACAAGTTGCTTTTTAAAAAAATATGTAAATTATCAACTGTCTTGTAGTGTCAAATGACAAAATAATCAATTTAGTTAAGAGTTTGATGTCCTTTATTCAAGGAGAAACAACCCATGCATTGGGAGAGAACAGTGTCTCCTCATAAGCAGTGGAACACTCTTCCCCAGGAGAGTTTGGGCAAGAGTGAGTTTTACAGAGCATGAGAGGCAGCAGCAAGGAAACAGCATGATTGGCTGCAAAGTCAGGGATTTCCTCTTAAGGCCAGCAGGTCCTCTTTTCCTAGGGTAAGTACAGGCTGGCTTAGTTTACATTTGTGACATAGGCAGAGCCACTATAGCACCCTCCATTTCGTGGCTCTCAGTACTGTAGGAATTAACTTTATTAGTAGAAATATTTACTATTCCACTAGGACAATTATAGCTTCAGTGTGAAAATGACAAACATTAAAAAGTCTTCCAGATTTTTTCATGTTGAAATAAAAGTCATCATAAGTAGGTATTTATAATTGAAAAATTTTTAATGTTCCTGCTCAGCCCATGTAGCTCAGTGGTTGAGCTACCCAGGAACCAAGAGTTCACCGGTTCGATTCCAGGTCAGAGCACATGCCTGGGTTGCGGCTTAATCCCCAGTAGGGTGGCGTGCAGGAGGCAGCTAATGGATGTTTCTCATCAATGGATGTTTCTTTCTCTACCCCTTTCCTTACCTGTCTCTCTTAAAAAATTAATGAAAATATTTTTGAAAATTTTAATATTCCTATTATATTTCACTACAGATTGTATAGTGAATTTCAACACACCTGAAATTCCTAACACACCTGACTCAAATCACCAACTTGAGTTAAGAGTAGGAATAGGTTTGCAAGAGCTCTCATTATGTATCCAAGTCATCTGGGTTCTCTTAGAGATTTGGAACAGTTCTTTATTGAGCAAGGAGTCTATAGGAATAAAGGTTTGTTTATTTAGATTGAGTATTTAAAAATTCTGTAGTTTTCAGGAACCTTTTATGAGAACAAAAAAAATTTCTCCTGAAGACTCATTTGTGAAAACAGATTTTAGGGAGCCCATGACTTGTTTCTCTTAGCCTGTAATGTTATCTGGTTTTATATACCATGTAAGATTCTTCATCCTATTTATGGTGAGATTTGTTATATATCTATTGATTAATACTTTAAGACACTCATTTTTAAAAAAAATTTTTATTGAGTTCAGAGAGGAAGGGGAGAGGTAGAGAGATTAAAACATCAATACAAGAGAGAATCAGTGATTGGCTGTCTCCGGCACACCCACTACTAGGGATTGAGCCTGTAACTCAGGCATGTGCCCTGACCCAGAATCAAACCATGACCTCCTTGTTCATAGGTTGACACTCTTACCACTGAGCCACACCAGCCAGGGCAAGGCACTCACTCTTAATACTTGTGCTCTTGAGTCTAATTTCAGCTGCCACCTGCTAGCTGCATAACCTTGGGCAAGTTATTTGACCTCTTTGTCTCATTTTCCTTTTTCATCTGTAAAATAGGGATAATGAGAGTGTCAACCTAACAGATTGGGCTTTAGCATGCTGCTACTAAGTGATGAGATTTGGCCTCTTAACATATATTTTGGAGTTAGGAGATTTAGCCTTGTCTAAATGATTGCTACTTAGAATTTTATTTGTATACTAGAGGCCCGTTGCAGGAGGATTCCTGCAAGAATAGGGCTTCGCTCCCGTCTCTGCGGCTCCTACCCCGCCCTTCTCTGCCGCTTCTTTCCCTCCCATCTCCCTCCCGTCTCCGCTACCTCGGCTCCGTCTCCGCTACCTCGGCTCCGTTGCTTGGCTTCCTTCTACAGTGTCTTCAGTCTTCGCTCCCAGCCGTTAATTTGCATATCATGCTGATTAGCCAGTGGGAGGTGTAGCGAAGGTATGGTCAATTACCATGTTTGTCTATTATTAAGGTACGGTCAATTACCATGTTTGTCTATTATTAGATAGGATTAACTCCTTTGGGAAAGGAAAAGAACTAAGTTTTGTTGAGAAATTACTATTTGTCTAGACATTGTGCAGTCTATATATCTTTGTCTTACATTGTAATACCAACCTTGTGTGGTAAGTTTCTGACAAATGGTCCCCAAACTCTCAAGTCACAGGCTGAGTGAGGTCTTTCCACATTGCCCAAGAGTGGCAAAACTTAAAATTGTAGTTACATAGACTTGTTATGAAATGGAAGAGAATATATGTGTTTAAGTTTTAGTTAAAAAATGTTAATTTTTTTTTTTTTTTGGTTAATCCTCATCCGAGGATATTTTTCCATTGATTTTTAGCGAGAGTGGAAGAGAGAGGGAAAGTCAGAGAGAAACATTGATGTGAGAGAAACACACTGATGGGTTGCCTTCTGCACAAGCCCTGACCAGGGCCTGGGCGAGGGAGGAGCCTGCAACCAAGGTACGTGCCCCTGACCGGAATCAAACCCAGGACCCTTCGGTCCACAGGCTGACGCTCTATCTACTGAGCCAAACCGGCTAGGGCAAATCTTTTACTCATATATAAGAAGGCTACAGCAGAATGGTTAGGAACATGGGTTTTTCCATCAGACCTGGCTTCCCACCCTGCTTCCCCTATCTACTGCTGGAGTGATGATGGATAATTCTTATCATCAATAAAGGGATGATGATTCCTATTTCACAGTGTTAGGATTAAATAAAATATATAAGTAGTAATCATGCAAGAACTCAGTAACTGGTGGGTTGCTCAGTAATGATTCTGGGACCATTCATTCATTTGGGGAGAACTCAAAAATTATTTCATTCTACTTATTCACCAAAATTAATTTCACATAAACTAAAGAATTACCATAACAAATGAATCACAGAAACATATATTCTCTTAGGATTAAGAACACTGAAAACAAAAACCATAAAAGAAGAATAAAAAATACCATTAAGGGATCCTGTCAATACGTCAGAGAAGGCAACTGAAGACCTCTCATTAGGTTAGGATGGAATAATTTGGACATTTAAAAAAGAATGACTAATGGATTGAAAACCATCAAATATATAAAAATCTACGAATTTAAAATGTTACTCAAAACTCACTATTGCCATTAGAGGTTGCTACGACATTGATTTATTCCTCTACAAATTGGAAAATAAAAGGAAGAAGAATCAAGCACTTAACTACCTTTGCTGTACAAATTATATTTCTGGGTAGTCAGAGTTAAGGAAAGTTGTTTTTAATAAGCTAATTAATACGTAAATATATACAAATATATGCACCATTAACAAAAATAAAAGCTGAAGGCAAATGGGAAAATAATGTAATATGTAAAAATAGCCCAGTATCTTAAATATGTAAGATTTTTGAGCTGCACATTTCCTGGTATTTACTACACAGTGCCTAGTAAAAGTTGGCATCCTAGGAAGTCTGTTCAATAATACATTTACATTTTTTCCCTCTCTTCACTAATAATAATTTTATTACATTCTTTACAATTTTATTACATTCTTTATAATTTCTATTTTATGTTTTGGAAATTATAACTATCAAAATTTAAAAAGGATAATCTAATAGCCTTTTTTTTTATCCTCACCAAGAATAAGTTCTTATTGATTTTAGAGATAGAGGCATTGATGTGAGAGAAACATTGATTGATTGCCTCCCATACTCGCCCCACCGGGTTTCAAACCCACAACCTAGGTACATGCCATGACTGGGAATTTAACCCAAAACCTTTTGGTGTATAGGTCGACTCTCCAACCAATTGAACCACCAGGCCAGGTAATTTAATAGCCTTTTAAGTGACTGTGATATGGATGGGTAGGTGAGCCATTAAGTGCCTTTTTTGGTTTGAAGTAATTTTTGTATAACGTATTGTTGAAAACATAGAAAATGTACCTGATGTTTTTAAACATGTATTTTCCTCAACAAGCTTCTAAATGCTCACAGCTCTTTGATTTTACTTTTTAGATTTCATCTTAGAGTACTTTAATTTTGGCATTTCATAATTTACAACTGGATATTTCAGATTTAAAAGTTGACAGATACCTATTTGCAGAATTTAAATTTTTTTTTTTTTTTTAAGGCTGATACCTGTCAGGGAGATTTAAGTACATTGGCCAGTGTGGTTACATCATTAGCAAATCTTGGAAAAACTAAAGATCTTTTTCAAAATAGTAATAAAATGTCTATGATTGAAGGATTAAGTAATGGTGATGCCTCTTTGTGTGAATTTAATCAAGAAATTCATACCAATGGTGATGTTTCAAGGTAAGGTCTGTTTTGATCTTAAGTGTCCTTTTGTTTAAGTGTCCTTTAGTATTTCTTAAGATATTTTTAGGTTGAATACTATTTATAGAAGTGTCAAAAAACCGGTGTTTCTTTAGGTTTAGAAAATGTAAGGCATAGTCAGTTTTAACTAAAAAATTGCATTCAGATGTAAAATGTTTTCCAGCAGGCTACATTATACATAATGAGCAATAAGTGAATATTATTATATGTTAGAAATGTAGTCATAAAATTCAGGAATTTTTTTCCACTAAAGATGATTATTTGGGTCTGAAATTTCAGATATACTTTAGTTGTCAGATTTTATCTTCTGTGTATTTAGAGTTAACCATTTATCTTTATTAGGGAGTCATGTTCATTTTTCCCATCAATTTTTAGTGATGAACTAGATTTAAAGACTTAGTTAAATCAAATTTTTAAGTTACACTTCAGGAAACTCATCAGAATTCTATTTTTCATTCTCTCAATATTAATATTTAGCATGTAGAAATCAGATTTCTTTAGGCTTTTTTCACATTCTTTCCATCACCTCAAATATTGAAGAAACTTCATTTAAGAATCTCATTAAGTACTTTGTTGAACAAGAGGTTTTAAGTAAATCTAGAAGGCATCTCATTAGAAAATATGGAGAACTACTTTGAATAATTATTTACTAACATTAGTTAATTTTTTGCTATTCTAATCTCAAATTCTTACCGTTTAGATGTAGCTATGTAACCACAAGTTTTAAAATACTCTCTGAATTATAAAATAAAGTTAAAACCTAACTTTATGTTGTGTAGAACACAGTCAGGTCAACGTAAATTCTAGCCCTTGTTCTTTCTAAATAACTGCTAATGTAAAATGAACGAGCTGATATCTTGTAACAAATGTATAACTTGTAAAAGCATATTTTTATACCAAAGTATAAAAATTATACCTCCTTAATTACTTAAGATTAAAGACTAGTTCTCTGATAATACATTAATATATTTTTTCATACATATGAAGTCTTAACTTGTTGCTTTTGGAGAGTCATAGATATCACTGAAATAGAGTGTTCAGTGATACACCAAAGTTTTATTTCCTAAACAGTTTTTAGGCCTAAATCTTAATTCCAGAATTTTATATACAATTTTTATTTTATTGTGGAGATGTCCAAGCTCACAGCTTCTGATGTCTCCTTATAGGGCATTTGACACTCTTGCAAAAGCATTGAATCCCGGAGAGAGCACAGCCTGTCAGAGCTCAGTAGAGGGCATGGAAGGAAACGTACATCTAATTGCTGGAGACTCAAGCATAAATTACATCGAAAAAGAGGGGCCACTTCTCAGCGATTCACATGTAGCTTTCAGGGTATTTCCATATATATATATATTTTTTTATAATTTTTATGTTGTATTATCCATTTTGATTTTAATCTTCCTTTCAAAAAACAAAGTATATTTGTTGTACTTTTAAAAGTCAGAAATATCCCTGATAGAATTCAAAACAGCAGCTAAAATATATACATCTGCCTATATAAAATAATGGCTTAATAAATCCTGTTTCTAAAGCATAGTTAAAATATTAATTAATGGGTTTCAGTTTATAAAAGTTAGCTTTTAGAACATTTATACATAAGTTGTTGCTTTTTTAAAAAAATATATTTTATTTGATTTTTTACAGAGAGGAAGGGAGAGGGATAGAGAGCTAGAAACATCCATGAGAGCAAAACATTGATCAGCTGCCTCCTGCACACCCCCTACTGGGGATGTGCCCGCAACCAAGGTACATGCCCTTGACCGGAATCGAATCTGGGACTCTTCAGTCCACAGGCTGACGCTCCAGCCACTGTGCCAAACTGGTCAGGGCAAGTTGTTGCTTTTTTGACATTAAATATTGGCAATCATGATCTGTCAAATGCACGGGTTTGTTCAATGCCTCGCTACTATTACTTTAGTATAAACCAGTATCTAAGACTCAGATACTCTGCTCTTATCAGAGTAACTGCAGAGAACTCCATTTATTATGTATTACCCCAATTTGCTAGCTCTCAATTATTTTAAGAAGGTAAAAATCATTTAACACATTTTAACTTTGTGTTAACTTTTAATACTTTAAACATTTTGGAGAAGGTACATTTGTAACTTATTTTCTGCTCCCCTAATATACATAAATTTATGATGGAAACGTTACATTTAGAATACTAGGAGTAATACATATACAACATTAGAAAATAACTTTATAATATTTGATTTGTAGTACAGATGGTTGTCATTCAGCTATAGATATGCTGACCATTGAGGCCCTAATTAAGACCCAGCTGTTTTGACCCTCCATTTTAACCACTTTGTATCTTTGCTCTGCCAGCTAGCTGTGAATACTGTTAGCAAATTATATGCAGTGTTTGGAAGTATGTAGGACATTTAACAATACATAGTAGTTCTGGAATACCTGAGTGTAATTGCTCATAACTTTACTATAGAAAACACATTTGCATGGGTTTCTTATGAAAACATATAGTTATCAAGTAGATAACTATATCTATTGAGACTACAGCATACATACACACATCACTGGTAGAAATAATGAGCACAAAATAAATCTAATACTGGCCAAAATTGTATATAATAAAGTTTGTTTATGCAAATTTTAACTACTTGGTAGAAATAGCCACAGAGAAAACACAGTGACTTAAATAATAATTGCTCTAATTTGATAGTCAGTAAAACATCAGTGAAACCAATCTTTATGTAAAATTTTACAAAGATAACATGAAAAAAATTAGAAAAGTTTTATTTGCATTGTACAAGAACACTTTTTAGGAAGGCTATAAGAGGAGGCAATGGGAATAATCAGTGTCATCCTTAAAAATATGGTAGGAGCTATGGACAGGGGTAGAGCAAAGCAAAACTGATTTTTCCCATTGCTCTTTCTTATTCTAAGTAAAAGATATTTATTAGTTTTATTTCCCCCTTTGGATTTAAATGGGAAGGAAGGGTAAAAGAAGTAGGAAGAGGACCCATTGCAAGGAAAAGGTACTCAAGAATGCTTCTATCGAAAGTAGAAGTAGTTCACCATTTTTGTTGATATTGGTCCTCAGAGTTTTCTTTTTCTTTCAAATATTTGTTTTGGACAAATGAATTAGACAAATAGAACTTTTTCTTTTTTCCATTTCATCTTTATCCTACTATACTCTGGATATCCTCATAATGAGCACTGTAAAGTTTCTTATTCTCCTGAAGAAAGACAGCTCCTTCTTTCCTTGAATCTTATTTACAGACTCTATGAAATCAGAGTCTCACTTTTCAGTGACTTCCCAACCTAGTACCTTCAGGGTTAGTTCTTTCCTTGATGTTTTATAGGCATGAGTTTCAAGACATGCCATCTGTAATCAAAAAATGAATTTTCTCTTGATTGCTGAGCTACTAATAGCATTTTGTCCCTTTCTTGCATTTTTACATACAGTGAGTGTAGTTTTCAGCATGCTTGCACATGCATTCTTTGATTTAAGCCTCACTACAGTCTGTTGAGAAGGTTCATATTTTTATTGGCATTTTCTGAATGAAAAAAGAGATTTGGAGGTTTTTAGTGTCTTGTTCAAAGCAATCCAGACAGTAAGGAGAAGTAGTCTAATAATGCTTCTTAAATTTTTATTCTGAAGAATATATGACAGCAGCAATATTTAACATTTCTGTTAAACTTCAGAGTTTTTGGTGTGATTTCATATGCTTTGTCTCACTTGATTATTTCAATTTGCTTATACAAATAATCAAGGTGGATACTATTCCCATTTGGAAATAAGTGTTTGAGATAGAGGTAGGTGATTTCCCAAACTGTTCTCTAAAATTTATTATCCAAATATTAGAATCACAATCCTAGTCACCACATTTGCTGTTTGGGAGTTGTTGTCATTTTCCTAGCCTCATTCCCTGACATAATCCTAACCAGTCTATTAGAATTTCTCCCTTTCTCTTCATTTTCAATGCCATATTTCAGGCCTTTTAAATTTTCTTTAAGTGTTATAGTAATATCTTTGCTTACAGTCTCTCTTCTCCATCTTGAGCACTGATAACAAAATAATAATTATTAAAAGTCAATCCAGTTATGTTACTCTGCTACATAAAAACCTTCAATAGCTTCCCATTGCCCATTATTTCTCAGACATGTCATTCTCTTTTTTTAGCCTTTTCTACAGTTCATTCATTTCCCATTTTATTTCTCTATTGAGACTACAGTATACATACAGCACTTAGCTAGGTGGCTCACAATGAACTCTCAATAAATGGTTGATGAATTAATATGTGATCCAGGGCCACACAGTTAATTAATGACAAGTTGGGAATAGAATCCAGATCTTCTAACTCAAGTCAAATGATTATTTTAAAGCTATATTATTTAACCCATTATGAAAATTACATACAGAAACTGCTAGAAAGGTAATTATGTAGACAATAACTTGTAAAGTAGGTATCCTAGTTTAGTCATGTCTCAACACTCTAAATTAGCAGTTCTCAACCTGTGGGTTGCGACCCCTTTGGGGGTAGAACGACCCTTTCACAGGGGTCACCTAAGACCATCGGAAAACACATATATAATTACATATTGTTTTTTGATTAATCACTATGCTTTAATTATGTTCAATTTGAAACAATGAAATTGGGAGTCACCACAACATGAGGAACTGTATTAAAGAGTCGCAACATAAGGAAGGTTGAGAACCACTGCTCTAAATCACCTCAGCCCTAGTTTGTTTTGCTCAGTGGTTAGAGCATCGGCCTGTGGACTGAAGGTTCCTGGGTTTGATTCCGGTCAAGGGCTGGTAACTTGGTTGCAGGCTCCATCCCGGCCCTGGTCAGGGTGCTTGTGGGAGGCAAGCAATTGATGTGTCTCTCTCACGTCAATGTTTCTCTCTCTCTGTCTCTCTGCCTCCCTTCCACTCTCTTATTTTTTTAACATATTTTTATTGATTTCAGAGAGGAAGAGATAGAAACATCAATGATGAGGGAGAATCATTGATTGGCTGCCTCCTGCACGCCCCCCACTGGGGATCAAGCCTGCAACCTGGGCATGTGCCCTGACCAGGAATGGAACCATGACCTCCTGGTTCATAGGTCAACACTTAACCACTGAGCCATGCCATTCTCTCTAAAAATCAATGGGAAAATATCCTCAGGTGATTAACAACAACAAATCCTTTGATCTTCTTGGCATCATAGACACCTTTGAGAATTTGTGGAAAGCTATATATCCATTCCCCAGAAAAATATATATGGGCACATCGAGCTTATCCCACCCCAGGGTTAGCTACTGCTATTAACTGTGTGGTGTATTTCCTTCTCTCCTTTATTTATATGTGTAAGTTGGATCATCCACATTGTTTTGCAGTTTTTTCTCTAGGTATCTATGAGATGTTTTTTTTGTGCCATTACATCTCAGTTTATCTTACTAATTTAATGCCTAGAAGGTACTCTATAGATTATTCTTTTCTTCAGTGAAGGAAATTTGGATTCATCAACCTCCTGGTTCATAGGTTGGCACTCAACCACTGAGCCACACTGGCCAGGCAGTGGTCACACATTTAAAATAATTACCTAAGGCCCGGCCAGTGTGCTCAGTGGTTAAGCATCAACTCCTGATCCAAGAGGTCACTTGTTCGATTCCTGGTCAGGGCACACGCCTGGATTATGGGCTTGATCCCCAGTAGGGGGCATACAGGAGGCAGCCAGTCGATGTTTCTGTCTCATCAATGTTTCTATCTCTATCCTTCTTCCTCTCTCTTTCAAAAAATAAAATAAAAATCAGTGAAAAACATATTAAAATAACTAAGGTCAGCAGTACAAACTGGAAGCCTGTGAAAATTATGGCCACAGACATACTTGGTTTTACCTGTTGATTAAATGGGGATTTTATTTTTACAAAGAACCTCCTCTTTGAAGAATTGATAGCAGGCATCTGTTTTTCCCATATGTTTTTAATGTGTTGAACTCAGGTCACAGCTGTGCCCTTTCTCTGGGAATATGCACTTCGCAGATGGCCTGCTTCAATCAATACTCTCCTGAGCCTATAAGCATTTGAATTTAACTCCATAGCCTAAATGAAAGGAACATTTAACATATACAGGATTGCTCATTAAAGTGAATTTGTTGTATACTATTGTTTAATAAAGAAAGGGAAGGCCGAAACGGGTTTGGCTCAGTGGATAGAGCGTCGGCCTGCGGACTGAAAGGTCCCAGGTTCGATTCCGGTCAAGGGCATGTACCTTGGTTGCGGGCACATCCCCAGGAGGAGATGTGCAGGAGGCAGCTGGTCGATGTTTCTCTCTCATCGATGTTTCTAACTCTATCTCTCTCCCTTCCTCTCTGTAAAAAATCAATAAAATATATTAAAAAAAAAAAAAAAAAGAAAGGGAAGAAATTGTTAGACAAAGACAAAAAGTAACTTTTAAAAACAACCAGAGAGCCTAGCTGGCGTGGCTCAGTGGTTGAACATCAACCTATGAACCAGAAGGTCACAGTTCAATTCCCAATCAGGGCACATGCTAGAGTTATGGCCTCCATCCCCAGAAGGGAATGTATGGGAGGCGGCCAATCAATTATTCTCTCTCATCATTGATATTTCTTTCTCTCCCTCTTCTTTCCTCATTGAATTTAATAAAAGTATATTTTATAAAAATACAACCAGATAATATCATAGTTGGATATTTATTAAGTAGGATTCTGCTTGTCTGAATATTGCTTTGTTAGAAACTATGATCTACTCATTTATTCTAAATCCTATTTTTAGCTGTAAAGTCCAGTGTCTTAGATTATCTCAAGGTTTACCTTTTGGTCAATCTATTAGACTCATGTGTAATAAGTTATGGTTTGCATTTAACTTTTTCAAAGAAATTACACTTTAGGACTGTTGGTCATAAGATAATTTATCTCAATCCCTGTTCACACTAGCTCACCATGCCTTCTCCTATGCCTGAGTACCTGAATGTGCACTATATCGGGGAGTCTGCCTCCAGACTGCTGTTCTTATCGATGCACTGGGCACTTTCTATTCCTTCCTTCCAGGCTTTGGGGTAAGTGTTTTAAAATCTTAAATGTAAATGAGGTTTTGTAGCACAAATGTACATTAAACAAGAACTTTTATTTTGGGAGGATCTGCATTAAAGGAAAAAAAAATGGTACCACATAACTTTAAGTTTTGTCATTGATGTCACAAATCATGGCAACTAGTATTTTTTGTATTATATTTATGTGGAAGAGTATCCATATTTCATGAATTGACTAAGTTAATTTGAAGGGGATATATGCGGTGGAACTGATAAATCATGGCCAGCATTCGTAATAGCCTGTCTCTGAATGACTTAAAGGTAGGGAGCCTATAGGGTTATCCCAGGGTTGTTGTTTTCCTTACACGACTAGTGTTCATCTCAAACATTTTAATAAGGAGCTGAAACTTGTAAGCAGTGAATATGTTTAAAAACAGAAATAATTATGTGTGATTAAGGGGAAAAAAAGAAAGAAAATGTAAACCCCATAGTACCACTATGATAATTTAGAATTTTGTTCTTTCTATTGAATAGCACATCTGTAGTCTGTTCTGAAGTAATCAGATGTTAAAGGAAATGGTTTACTGTAAGAAACCCAAGCTTTGCCTAAAGTTTGCCAGATTTATTTAGATTGCTTTAAAGTAGCTGGTATGAAGAAACAAAGAGACCATGGAATATGTTAATACCATAGTTAGAAAAGTATTATTCTAGTTACAGGACCCTACTCACCAATACGATTTTGTAAACTTTTCACTTTCATATTCTGTAAATCTGTTTTTCCATTTGCCAAATAAGAATAATAACTGAAGAGTCCATGCCCATCCTTTATCCTTAGGGAATATTTAGAATATAACTAAGAAACATATCTGAATTATTACTTGAAGAGGCATATGTAGAACCCCACTGTAATTTGGTTTATTAATCAACGTTGGCTATACCATGCGTTAATATCATGTATTAAGTAATGTATTTAAATAATATAATTACAATAGACTAAGAGCCTGATTTAGAATGATTAACCTTTAAAATGATTGTTAGCTCTTTCTCTCAAAACAACATTTAACTTTAAGAATTTCTCGTCTGTTTTTTAAGAAAAATTAAAATATATTCTACATTTATACATTAGCAGTTTCTTTTAAAGCATTTACTGTAGTTCTCTAAGCTTGTAATTGGCATACTTGTACCTTGAAAAGTAATCTGATGCTGTTTTTTATAATTGGATATCAATTATTATAGTAAAACAACAACAGGAAGGATTTTGGGGGTAGTGATTTGAACTCCTTGAGTTATTTGTAACATACCGATCTTAAGTACTTCTGTTAAATTAAGTGTGATTATCCTATGGAAATAGTCCAAATGTTGAAGAAAGCAAAAATAAAACCTGAGGTTTCTGATTATAACAGTATAATTTTATAGTGGCATCCACATTTCCCTGTGATCTGTATTAAAAATCTGGTTCAGTGTAACAGCCAATCTAACTGATTCTTTACAATTAGACTTACCTACTATTAGTGTAGCTGCTATGTAAGTTCTCTTTATTATCACTAAATAACTTTTAGTTTGAATTAAAAAGATGGATGCCGACTGAGTACTTGTGTTAGTATTTCTATAAAGTACATTATTATAAGTGGAACTGCTGAGTCTAAGAGGTATACCTTTCCATTTTTGCTAGGTGCTACCAAATTGTCCTCCAAAATGATTTGAGACAGTTTACACTCACATCAGCAATGTACAAGAATGAATGCTTATTTTCTCACATCCTCATTAATTCTGGATTTTATCCATCTTTTCTGATAAATGAAAAATAGTATCTTATTATCTTTTAGTTTGTTTGAGATTAAAATTTTTCATTTTCATATGGCGATTAAAACTATTGATTTTCTTTTCATTTAAATTTTACTTTTAAATAAATTTTAAATGGCCAATTTTTTATGGCAAGTAATGCTTCTCAGGTACTGAATGGAAAAGAGTGATCAGCCTGGAGTAAAAATTTCAGCTGAAAAATTTCCAGTGAGAAAAATTACTTTCTATAACTCTGAAGTTGGCAATATAAGCTTTTGTTTGAGTATATTCAATTCTTAAATAAAATGTAATGTCATAAAGAAGTCTATGTGTTTTAACTTGACAAATGATTTTAGTATATAGGTTTGGGTTTAAAGATTATTTGATAGGAAAAGAGTCCATGCCCATAGCTTTTCTAACTCTGTTTTTTCTAAATTCTAACTTCTCCCTGTTCTATATCCCCTGAAATCAGAAATCATTTGCTGAATTTCTTCTATATGCCATCTACTGTGCTGTTGACAGAGATACAGACATGAATAAGCCTTCAGTAAGGTTTTAATCTAGTATAGGAGACAGACTCCAAAACCAATAAATTAGAATACCATGAAATAAGTATAAAATATAAATGAATATGTGACACTGAAGGAGGAATGATGAACTATCTTGGGAGAGGAATGTGGTAAGAGAATTTTTTTTTTTTAAAGTGAGCTCTGAGTTATAGATTAAGGGATAGAAAGGATTTAGCCAGTGAAAGGATATTTAAGAGGGGAGGAGGAGTTACATCAGAGGAATTGAGGCATGGGAGGTTCCCCTGTTCTCTTCCCTTGAAGTTACAAGTTGCATAGCTATGATTCAACAAAGGATTCCCAGCTCATCACACAAGCTCGTCTGAGAGATCCATGAATTAAAACATCTGAAGCATTATTAACCATAGCCAAGACATGGAAACAACCAAAGTATCCTTCAATAGATGACTGGATAAAGAAGATGTACATATATACAATGGAATACTACTCAGCCATAAGAAAAAATGAAATACTGCCATTTGCAACATGGATGGATCTTGAACATATCATGCTAAGCAAAATAAGTCAGACAGAAAAACTCAAGAACCATATGATTTCACTCATGTGGGATATAAAACTGAAACTTAGACACAGACAACAGTATGGTAGTTACCGTAGGGGAAGGAGAGTGGAGAGGTAGTAAAGGGTAAAGGGGGTCAAATAGAGTGACAAAAGGAGACTTGACTTTGGGTGGTGATCGCACAGTGCAATAAACAGATGTATTATAGAATTGTACACTTGAAACATATAATTTTATTAACCAATGTCACCCCAATAAATTTAAAGGAAAAAGTTAATATAACTGCTGACTCATAAAAAGACCATAGTTTGAAATAAAATGTTTAGAAATTTAAAAAACTAAGCGAGGATAGCATTTATTAATCCACTCAACAGTTTTTGAGTACCTACTACATCCTGGTTCTCACCTCAACAAGTTTGGCCCTTGTTCTTCTTAGATTACTTTTCCCCTAGAATTTGTGTGTGTTTTTTTTAAGTTCTTTTCTGTTTTTCTCTACTCAAATGTCAGGCCCTTAGTAAGGCCTTCCCCAGCTACCTTACCTGAACATGGCCCTCCCATCCCCATTTTCTAATGCAGCATCATACTTTATAGTAATGTAGAATTTTTATTGCCTAAAACTAACTTAATGTATATATAATCATATGTATATGTGTATATATTTATATAAAATATTTAAAATGGCGTATTTATTATGTTGCCCTTCTGCTTCATGAAGGCAGACCTAATCCATGTTGTTTGTTGCTGTTTTTCCAATGCTTCCTACAGTGCCTGACTTTTTGTACTTTATGTCATGGCCTGTTCACATAATTCTTACATTTGTGCCTCATAATAACTAGATATAGGTTATAGAGTCTCTGCATTTTATATAGCTAAACAGCCTGAGACTTGGGAGCTTATTTGCCTGATTTCAAATGGATAATAAGTTGATGATCTAGGTTTTAAAACCCTGGTCTCTTGACTCCTATTACTACTTTTTCTATTCTCTCATGCTGAGATTTCTTATTTAGAAATTCAGGAAAAAACTTTTGATCTTTCTTATCCTTCTTACCCCTAGTAAAATCCTTGGTGTCTCATTTATAGAGATAATATCTCATCTGAAACATACTTAAAGAAGAAACCATTTCTCCTAGGAAATTGGTTGTTACCTACCATTAAATAATTTTAATTGCCCGTTTTTTTTAAAAAGAGAGTATTTACCTGCATTAAAGACAAAATAAAACTTGAGAAAAGTTTTTTAAATGCATGCTTTTAATTTTAATATTTTTAAAAACAATCTTTATGCTATCTGTTTCCATGAAATGTGGTATTAAAGCCCCAACTTCTGCAGTTTGAAACTGTTCTTATAAACTGGCTGACTGATTAATGAGCTAGCTAATTAAAGTTCTAAGCCTTTCTCATCAAGTGCTGTCAGGTATACAGAACACAGAATTGATCTAGTTCGTCTTTCTAGAGTAAATTGTACTTCACTAGTATTTTACTATAAAATATATGAGTCAATTGTAAAGTTTATAAAATTATTTTAATAATATCTGATTTGTGTGTGTGTTTTTAATAGGCAGGAAAACAGCATATCATTGGTGAAAGCTTATTGGAATGAACTTTTTACTCTTGGTCTTGCCCAGTGCTGGCAAGTAATGAATGTGGCAACTATATTAGCAACATTTGTCAATTGCCTTCACAGTAGCCTTCAACAAGGTAAAAAGCACTTTATTTCCTTTTCCCAGGATATAAGAGAGGATGTCAGTTTTATAAAGTGTTTTACTATTAAAGTTACATATCTGATGATAATGTTTTAGATGATTTAGATGACAACATTCTTTTTACTTTAGATAATTTTTACATTTTGATAATTTCATTTCATTGACCACCAAAAAAATATTTTTGAATATTTAAATTTGTATGTCCCTGACTTGGATAGAATTGCACCAGATTTGGTGATGCTTGTTTCATGTCAGCCAGGGACCGAGTAACTCCTTGTTTATCCTAGCTTGGCGTTTGGTCTGGTTCATGCCCTGAACACTTAAAAAAAATTTTTGAATTTTAAAATGTTTTAAAGCACAACAAAATTGAAACAAGTATATTTAAGTCTGGTTGGCTATTTCTGACCAGGCCTTGTGAATTTTTGTACTTTGGTATAGGTACCAAGGAATCCAGGGTTAGCTTATATAAAGTTGAGTAAATACTTTAAAATGTATTCTTCCAACCAATTTTTAAGTTACCTTTCTTAATTGTAACTCTTTGAATTCCAAGATCTTTTTTGGTCTCAATTCACCAGGGTATATTCTCTTATTTAAAAAGTACTGAAGAGTCACAAAACAATCCTTCCTCTCTTTTTTCCTTTTCTTGATGCCAAGATAATGACAACTCTCATTCATTTAAGGCAGTGGTTCTCAACCTTCCTAATGCCGTGACCCTTTAATACAGTTCCTCATGTTGTGGTGACCCCCAACCATAAAATTATTTTCATTGCTACTTCATAACTGTAATTTTGCTACTGTTATGAATCGTAATGTAAATATCTGATATGCAGGATGTATTTTCATTGTTACATATTGAACATAATTAAAGCATAGTGATTAATCACAAAAACAATATGTAATTATATATGTGTTTTCCGATGGTCTTAGGCGACCCCTGTGAAAGGGTCGTTTGACCCCCAAAGGGGTTTCGACCCACAGATTGAGAACCACTAATTTAAGGAGTCAGGCAGTCACTGATTTATAAATATTTTACTTCAGAATGACATGTGACTGACCAAAAATGTGCCCCCTCTTCAAATAGAAGCTGTCACTTGCGTTTAGGAATATATAAATTGGGAATTATGTTTTATTTCTTTACCATATTCCATTTCTTACTGTTTTATATGATTTTTAAATTATATGTGTCCTCCTTAAAATTTCATCAGCAGTAGCTCCAGAAAGCAGCACTGCATCCCCATGTTATTTGTGGACTCCTGATCTTGATTGTTTTCTCATAAGTTTGTAATGCATTATATAGCCTACTCTCACTAAAGCTGTAATTGAGTAATCAGATGTGTTTTAAACATATCCCTCCACAGTAAATTTTACTTAGTCTCCTTTGGTTTTGACAATGGTTTTTTTTGCTAAATATTTTTATTTTAGTAGTGTTGTTAACTTTTTTATTTATTATTATTATTTTTATTAATTTCAGAGTGGAAGGGAGAGGGAGAGGGAGAGAGAATCTTTGATCTGCCACCTCCTGCATGCCCCCTACTGGGGATTGAGCCCACAACGTAGGCAGGTGCGGGCAGGTGCCCTCACTGGGATCCAACCATTCCTGGTTCATAGGTCAACGCTCAAACACTGGGCCACACCAGCTGGGCAGTGTCGTTAACTTTTAAAAATCTAGATGATTTTGCTTTTAAAAATCAATATAAGCTTAAATAAAATCCTGTTACCAAATTTGAATATTTTGAATTTCTTTTGCCAGTTTTTCAGATGATTGTCTTTACAGCTTATTTTTTCAAAGGTGTGTCTTGAAAGGAGAAACATTATGTTTAGGGTTTTTTATACTAACAGCTTGTTTTTTTTTTTTCTTGAATGAAGCGTGTCCAAAGATCATTAATTAGTTTCATCTGTACTTGTAGAGAGATTGAATTTGAAACATTTACAGATTGGTTATATTTAACACTGGAAATTAATGGAAAGGAAATATGTTGGATAAAAATAGTCATACATTTTAGCAGAAAATTAGAAGCTTTTGTTTGTTTTTAATTAAAGATAAAATGTCAACAGAAAGAAGAAAATTATTGATGGAGCACATCTTCAAACTCCAGGAGTTTTGCAACAGCATGGTTAAACTCTGTGTTGATGGCTATGAATATGCCTACCTGAAAGCAATAGTGCTCTTCAGTCCAGGTACACAAATAGTGACATCTTATCTAAAATACAATGTTTGAGCTTGTGGTGAAATTGAATCCCTCATACCCTGCTGGTGGGAATATAAAATGATGCAGTTAAAGTGGAAACAAGTGTTCATCAACAAATGAATAAATAAACCAAATGTAATATATGCATACAATGGAATATCAGTCAGCTATAAAATTAAGTTCTTACACATGGATGAACCTTGAAAACAGTATGCTAAGGGAAAGAAGCCAGTCACAAAAGACCACATATTACATAATCCTATTTAAATGGGATGTCTAGAATAGGCAAATTTTACAGACATAAAGTAGGTTAGTATTAGTAATTACCAAGGACTAAGGAGAGGGAAGAATAGGGAGTGACTGAATGGTACAGCATTCTTTTGGAGTGACATAAATGTTCTAAAATTATATTATGGTGATGGTTGCACAGTTCTGTGAATAATCTAAAATAATTGAATTATACACTTTAAATTGGTGAGTTTTATGAATGCTGGACACTTATTTGGATGTGAAAAAAATAAAAGCTAAAACCAGTGAGCAAAATTCCTTCTCCACTTTTGGGATAAACGAAAATAATATCTATTTTAGTAGAACCCCATTGGTCTCATTTTTTATTAGATATTAGAATTTGTGTATGAGATAAAATAGTTTTACAGGCTTTAAAGTACAGTGCCTGGTACTTAGTAATATTTATGGAAAGAGCCACACATATGAAGAGGTTTCATTTTTGACTGAACTGTTCTTCTCATTCCCTTCCACCTCTACTCTAGATGTCTTACTAAATGAACATTCAGAAGCAGGATAACAATATATTCTTTCATGTTGCAGACCATCCAGGCCTAGAAAACATGGAACAGATTGAGAAATTTCAGGAAAAGGCTTATGTGGAATTTCAAGATTATATAACCAGAACATATCCAGATGACACCTACAGGTATCTAGAAGTTAAATGCTATTTAACTATATTAATTTTTAACTTTTTTGTGAATCTATTATTTCATTATTTTATATTTCAAGAGTAAATAAAATGTTCTAGTTAAACTTTGAAATAGTTAATGCTATGAAAAGCAGTATGCATTATTGCATGTAATATTTCATCCATTTCTTGCATTTATATAGAGATGACTTTAGCACACAGAGGTTAAGTAACTTGCTCAAGATCACAATAATTGGCAGAGCCTGACTGGATCCAGGTAGTCTGGCAGTAGTGCCCAAACTCTTTGTTTTAAATAAATAACTTTGAGATTTGGCTTATGATATTTCTAACGTAGACATTTTTAAAAAATATTTTATAAGATCAATTAAATTTTTGAAGGACTGTATTGTAGAGTAAACACAATGCCATCGAAGCCAGAGTACCTAGGTTTGACCTCTGATCTTACCTTATTAGCTGTATGACATTGGGCAAGTAGTTTTTAACTTCTCTGTTTCAGTTTCTTCACCTGTAAAATGGAGATAATAATAGTATCCACATTTTACAATTAGTGTAACGCTTAAATCAGTTAATAATGTAAAGAGCTTAGAACAGTGCCTGTTTCATAGCAAGGGCTATAAAAATGTTTTACTAACGTTATTATTTATTTAATATACTTCAAGCTAGTAAAAGAACATTTCACATATAACAATGTTTTATACGTATTAAATAATAAATGTATAAGCCAGTTCCATCGTGAAAATGAGACTTAGTTAACCAGTTCTCTTATCCTGCTTTCTACCAGTTCTGTGGATGCAACTCAGCTGGTGGGAACAAAAGGAACTGAGTAATTTGAGAAATAGGATACATGGCTATATGAAGGTCACTTAATTCTGGGGCTGCTGGTTTCATTTGGTCTCAAGCATTGGAGTGCAAGGCCTTAGACTAGAGTCGTGGTCGGCAAACTGCGGCTCGAGAGCCACATGCGACTCTTTGGCCCCTTGAGTGTGGCTCTTCCTAAGCCTTAGGAGTACCCTAATTAAGTTATTAACAATGTACCTACCTATATAGTTTAAGTTTAAAAAATTTGGCTCTCAAAAGAAATTTCAATCGTTGTACTGTTGATATTTGGCTCTGTTGACTATTGAGTTTGCCGACCACTGGACTAGAGGCAGGATAAACATTACCACAAGCTTTTTGGAAAGGTGGTTCTTTTGTTGTTGGTTTGTCATGATAATTTTTCAGATTTTTAAAAATGTTTCTAAAGTTGTTTTATGCCTCATTATAAAGTAAGTACAGTATTTACATTTTTTCTTCTTTAGATGTACCGTTGTTGGCTGACTTTTGTTTCATTAGATTCCAGGTGCTTTCACTGATCTTTGGAATTATTTTTGAATTTCTTACATTTCTAGTTACTTAAAAATAACAAATTATCTTTCGATAGCAGTTTTCAATGTATAATGTACTTTCTTTCACACAAGATATCCTGCCAAAATTTAAGAACCTCACTATACAGAAACTGGCAGATATCATTTTAATTTTCACAAAAAAACGGAAGAGAGGCAGGGAGCACATAGCTAGGAGGGCAACTGAATCAAAATGTGAGTCCAGTGATCTTGATTCCATTGTCTTGTGCTTTTCCCAGTAATAACAACCATTGCCTGTTTTACCATTCCCAGTAGTATTTCTTAAAGCAAAATCAAGAAAACTATTATAATTGAGTCTGTATGCCCTGATAACACAAAATATTGCTGTTCTTACAACCTAAAATAAGCTCCTATACCATTTTTAAACGTATAGCTTGAACCGGGGTTTAATGGCATAGCAGTTAAGAGCAAGGCTTGACTCTGAAGTCTGTCAGACTGCACTTATATCCAGTTGTCATACACTCTAAAGCTTGAATTCTAAGGTTTTTATTTCAACTTTTGAAAATTAGATCTTTTATTCAATTAGGCCACAAATAATATACATGCAGAAATTACTCATATTTTTCTACTTACTCTCTCTTTGATTTATAATCTTGTCCCCCTCCCCTTTCTTTTTTGTTTTTAGGTTGTCCAGACTACTACTCAGATTGCCAGCTTTGAGGTTGATGAATGCTACCATCACTGAAGAATTGTTTTTCAAAGGTCTCATTGGCAATGTACGAATTGACAGTGTTATCCCACATATTTTAAAAATGGAACCTGCAGATTATAACTCACAAATAATTGGTCACAGCATATGAAAGCTGAGCACTCAGTGTAAAATTGTTCTTTCTCAGAACACAAGACACCAAATTGAACTCATGGTTTTCCAGGGCACCTGGAAATTTTGACTTTAAAGAATAACCAAAAACCAAGATATTTTTATTTTTACTTTCTTAAGAAGAATTTTCAAAGTGACTGGGCAGGTAGCAGGAATTAGAGTTTCCTTTCCTGTCTTATTTAAGTGAATAAGAAATACTATGAATTTTTTCTTGGTTAAGATGATACCTAAAGCTGTCACCTTTTAACTATCTAAACTAAGATCTCTTATATCTTATTTGGTGAAACAAATAAACTAGTTCTTTGTTTTTTTTTCAGAATTGTGTTCTATTCATGTTTAACTTCATTATGAGCTAGTACAGATACATAATTGTCAGAAATCTCTGAGGATATCCTTGTATTTTACGCTTCTATAATCTTTTAATTACTTTGTCATAAGATTATGGTCAATGGTGTAATGATAACATTAGAACCAGAGGAAATCATAATTGAAGATATATTTTTTTGTCTTCTGTAAATGTTGTGGCACCCATAGCATAGACCACTCATTGCTGGCAATGAGACAGGATATTCATGATCTTAAGACTTGACTTTTTTAGTGGTGTATATTATTAGTTACAAGCACTTTTTATTTATGTATACAGAAAATTTTTTTGAGAATAAGATAAGGTTCATGTTTTAATATTTTCAGTTTACTACAGTGTTTTAAAAGTAGTAGAAACTGGTTGAGCCCAAAATGTTTCAGTATTGCAGAAGAGATCTTACAAGTGTTGCGTTTCCATTGCACAGAAAACATCTGTCCTCTCCCTCTTTCCTGATCCGCATTATATAGTTTCCTGACCCTTTCATGGGTATTAGCCAATTTCTTTTAGGTCATTAGAAATAGTTTGTTAAATAATGGATTTATCATAACCAATCTGTGTTTTCAAGGTGAGTGAAACAATTATTTTAAGGCAGTTAATAGTTTTTAAAAATTAAAATTTTTTAGTATATAAAGCAGTGGTTCTCAACCTTCTGGCCCTTTAAATACAGTTCCTCATGTTGTGACCCAACCATAAAATTATTTTCGTTGCTACTTCATAACTGTAATGTTGCTACTGTTATGAATCGTAATGTAAATACCTGATATGCAGGATGGTCTTAGACAACCCCTGTGAAAGGGTCATTCGACCGCCAAAGGGGTCACGACCCACAGGTTGAGAACCGCTGATAAAGGAATATGCACTGATTTTTCACTATAAAGAGGGGAGGGCTATTTCAGTATGAGCATCAACCTAAAGCCTTGTTATTGCTACAACAAAAGCATTTTAAATTCCTTGGATGTCTTCCAGAGTAATGTTTTCCATAGCAAACCTAATGCTATTAAATATTTATTTGCTCTGATTTCATGATGATTTGTTTTAGTATGTCTATTTGTTGCTTTGTTATAAAAAACAAAATGGAGATTTCATTGTACTCAGAATACTTCTTTTACAAAGACTTTTGTAATAGAAGAGAAGCTGAATTTGGGGAGGCTGTGGATTTTACTAATTACTACTTTATAGTAAATCAAAAGTTTAAAAGTATCACTGTACAGTCTTTACCAACTTACTAAGGGAAATTTTTCCCTACTTAAAACATGATTTTTTTTTTGTCATTAGGTTTATTTATAACATTAGCTGGAGAAAACTGCATTTACTATAAAAATACACAAATGGGAAAATTAGTAGGTTTATACCTTTATAATCCAAAGAAGTAAGCCAAGGATTTAGAAATAATGTAATAATGGTCAATTAACACACATGTTTACTGCAGGTGTTTTTCATGATTAAATTTGTAGTTATATTTGGAAGTGTTTTTAGATCTTTATTAAAATGTGACCTGCATTATAAATTTGTTTCCTGACAGTATATTTGATTTCAGAGTTCTATTTGTTGAGTAGTTACCCTTTGGTTTGTTTGCCACATTATTAAGAAATTTCTAGTAAGATTTATTGAAGTACTTCCAGGAAGGGAAAACATTTCCATATCTATTATTTTAGGATTATAATTCAATTTGAAGACTTCTAGCTAAATATTAGATTGACTATTAATTTATTTTCATGCTCTCCTGAAATCTCAGTAAAATGACAGTAAAGCGGTAAAGTATAACTACATAATGACAAAACAAAAGAGAAGAAATCAAAGGATAAGAGAGTTCAATAAGTTTTTAGAAAACAAAATCCAGGTAGAGAAAGCCAGAATCAAGGACACTCTAATCTGAGTGCCTGCAAAAGGCAATAGGCAATACAGTGAGAAAGACGCCTGTACACCTTGCAGTATCCAGAAAAGATGCTCATTATCTGGAAGATCCAGGTGCAGAGATGGTGCTTGGGACATAAATAAGAAAGAATTGATTGCAAGTCTGTATACAGAATCATTGAACTGTCTTTGTTTATACTTAAGTCAGGCAGTCACTTTCGTTCCACCCCCCTTTTTAAAATATATTTATTTAAAATAATAAATACATACATATACACTCAATGGCCAGATTATTATGACCACCTGACGTTTGTAGGCATATTAGCCATACACTGCATCATATGGGATATGGAAGCCGAAGGCCTGTTCAAACACCTTTGCTGTCTGCAGTTACCAAGATAAATCATCATCTCCAATTTGCACAGGAACACAAGGATTGGACAGTCGAGCATTGGAAAAAAGTCATGTGGTCCGATGAATCACATTTCCAGTTGCATCATGCAGATGGCAGAGTGAGAATTTGGCAGAAACAGCATGAAAGCATGCACCCCACATGCATGAGTACAACCCTTCAAGCTGGTGGGGGCAGTGTTATGGTTTGGGGCATGTTTTCCTGGCATGATTTGGGCCCTTTAATTCATGTGAAGCAATGTCTGAATAGCACAACATACCTAAGTATCGTTGCTAATCAAGTTCATCCTGTCATGTTGATGGCATATCCCAGTGGAGATAGCTTCTTCCAACAAGACAATGCGCCATGCCATGGTGCTCGTATTGTGCAGGAGTGATTTCAAGAACATGAGGGAGACTTTACCTTGCTTAGGTGGCCCCCACAATCACCAGATCTCAATCTAATTGAGCATTTGTGGGACGAAGTTAAAAGAGCCATCAAGCAGCTGGTTCCACAACCATCAAATCTCACAGAACTGGACAGTGCTATTCATCAGGCATGGTGTCAGATTCCTTGCATCACCTTTCAACATCTTGTGGAATCGATGCCAAGAAGAATCGCCGCAGTATTGAAGGCAAAAGGTGGCCCAACGAAGTACTGATGGGATGGTCATAATTTCTGGCCACTCAGTGTGTGTGTGTGTTTTATATATATATATATAGAGAGAGAGAGAGAGAGAGAGACATCAAATGATAAGAGAGAATCATTGATCAGCTGCCTCCTGCATGCCCAACACGGGATTGAGCCCGTAACCTGGGCATGTGCCCTGACTGGGAATGAACCGTGACCTCCTGGTTCATAGGTTGATGCTCAACTCCTAAGCCATGCAAGCCGGACTGCCCCCACCTCCCTTTTCGAGCAGCAAGTCAAAGGTTAATGCTATTTAAAAACTAACTGGAAGATCATAGGACTTATAGGATGCCAGGCATAATAGAAGGCTTGGATTAGATATAGGGTTGAAAATATGGATTAAGCCCTAGCCAGTTGCTCAGTGGTTAGAACATTGGCCAGTGGACTGAGGGATCATGGGTTTGATTCCAATAAGAGCACATACCTTGTACCTCAGTTGCAGGCTCCAATCCCTGTCTCCCCACCCCCCTCAGAGCACATGTGGGAGGCAACCAATCCATGTTTTTCAGTCCCCCCTCCCTTTCACTCTCTAAAAATATCAATGGGAAAAAAAATGCCTCAAGTGAGGACTAAAACAAGAAAATATGGATTAAGTTAAAATCTGCATTCTCAATGTGGGCTCTCTAATTGTGTTTCCAGAATGCTGTTTTCAGAAAAACTACCTCCAGAGAAATGATCTCCAGACACTCACTTTTGCTTGTGTCTAGATAACATGCCTGATTATCACATTATCACTTCCATGAAACCCGCTTTCAAGTCGTGTGTGTGTATACATGGTGTTTTCATTGAACTCTTTAGTGCCTATTAAATAGGAGTGTGGAGCCAGGATCCCCAGATTTAGGGAAAATCTGTAATACCTAAGAATCACACATAGAGCGGGGGGGATATAATGGAGGGATCAGAAAAATACCCTCATTGATATTTTGAAAAGCTAGATGTTATATCCATTAAATGAGAACAGGATGCTTTAAAAAGGGAAAATTGGTGCAAGGAACAGTCCCTGGAAATTAAAAATTATAGCCAAAGCAATTCGTTGGAAGATGAAGTTGAACTCACCCAGAAAGCATAAGAAAAGATAAAGAAATAGAAAATAAGAAAATAACATTAGGGAGTCAAATCAGGAGGTCTTATATTTTAATAGTAAGAGTTTAAGGAAGAGGGGGTTTTAGAGGGGAGAGAAGTATGTAATAAGGCAATAGATATCTTGTGATAGAACTGTTCACTATCTTGACTGTGGTGCCATACAAGAACTTGCAGGTGATAAAACTAGAACTAAATACGCACACACACACAAATGAGTAGAGGTAAAGCTCAGTGGATTGCATTAATGTCAGTATCCTGGTTGTGATGGTATAGTTTGCAAAATGTTATACCATTAAGAGAAACAGAAGTATAAACAGGATAGGATCTCTCTGTATTACCCTATACTGCATGTGACTCTATAACTATCTCAATTTAAAATTTCAAGTAAAGAAAAGGAAAAAAGAACTTTAGGGATATTAGGAAATTATTGCCTAGGCAGTGCTCATCAGTGGCTGCTAAAATGAAAAGTGAAGCAAGCGGACACCATGTGTGTGTCCTGATGGAAGGATATCATCACATAAAATATACTTAACACTCCACCAATCTGGTCAAGCACCTAGATTAATTACTAATATACAGGAAATACAGGGGATAGAAGAATATTAATGAGAGGCGCAATCAACAAAATCCAGACTAAGGGAAATTCTACGGGAGAAACTGCCAGTGTCTTCATCAAATATATTGGAAGGACAAAAAAAGAAGCAGGGGGTGGAAAATGGGAGAAACCTATAGAATAAAAGAAATAAAGATCAACCAGTTACAACATATGGTTGGAAAAACTAAAGGTATTGAGACAGTTGGGGAAATTTGAACCCTCTGAGTATTTAATATTAAGGAATTACTGACTTTTTAATGTGAGATAATGACAATATGATTCTGTTTTTAAGAGTTCTTACATAGAAATATTTCAAATGGATACTTTTAAAAAATAGGAAAACCAAAAGTGCATGAAAATCATAGTTCAACATAAAACAAATTCAAATGTGATTTTGAATTTTGACTAATTAATAGAGTCTAAGAAAATTTGACCCTGATATTTGCAAGTTTTTCCTTTGGGGTTGAAGATTTAATAGTATAAAATTAAATACTTTTCCTGGATCTAGTTATATTACTTGATCCTTTCATGAAATACTGTGCTTCAGTTTTTAAACTCACAGCAATGGAAACTTGCAGTTACAATTCAAGTGTAAATCTTATAAACCTTAATCTTTTGAAAGTAATGATAATGTTGACCTAGAGTCTGAAGAGCAAAGGATGAAAATAGGTGAAGAAAGTGAGGTGCTAAATTTCTCATCTCAAATAGTTGAGAATCAAGAGAAAATGTTCCAAATTGATGGGTCAAGGAATATATAGATTTTTTTAAAAGCATATTGTTTAAAATGAAATAGCCACTGGAAAATTAGGAATAGTGTTTATTTAATAGCCTGCATTATTTAAAATTTTAAATATGCACAGCAGGGCCTGATGTGTGGGATGGAGCATTATGGGTTGGGAGGCTTGGAGTGGCTGGTAGTAACCGGCTGGTAGTAACCGGCTGGTGTCCCTGCTGGCAAAGGTCCAGTGACTTACAGCATCCCCACAGAGGTGGAGATAGCCTATGTCCAGGACAGCTTCCTGACTAATGACATCCTTCATGAGATGCTGCTGGTAGTGGAGTTCTACCAGAGTGCCCCTGACCTGGTGAGGTCCCAGGACTCCTACCTGGACAAGCTGAAGATTTCTCTGGACAGCAGGACACCCAGGGACCAGGGCTTGTGCCACTGCTGGAGCAGGTTTACACATCCTCAAGCAAGGAAGCTAAGGGCACTGCCTCTGAGGATCCAGGAGGCCTCCTGATCAGACTCTGAGCTCCGCCTCACTCCAGGCAGTTCTGGGTGAGGGGGAACGGGTTTAGGGGCTTCATTTGCGACTGTGTTGCTCCGTTCCTGTATGACAGTACATATATAGGGTATCTAAAAAAAAATGTATGCACACTTTGAATATTAATTCCAATGGGTTAAATCTGAAATGAAAGAAACATCAATTGAACTATCAAAAAATTATGTACATATATAAAAAATATAAATTGTACATACGTATTGTACACACATTTACATTTTTAATGCGAGATTGTTAAGGCCCAGCTCTAGGGCCATGCCTAATTCTATGAAAACCTACCCAAGGTTTCCTCCATCTGCCTTTGCATTCCCCTGCCTCATTGGATTATAGCTTACTTTTTGTTACTTATTCTCAAGATTGATCTCTCTAATAGAAGCAGCAATCCTGATTGAAATCTGTATTTCTTTAAATAGATGTGGTCATGTTTAAATTGCATTAGTTTATATGTGTTTATTTTAAAGTAAACTATATATAATGCACAAATTATTTTTGTAATAAATTTAAATACTTGAATTTTAACCTTGAAACTAAATCACCAAATCCTTGAGAGCAGATACTTAATCATATACGTTTCGATTCCTCCTCGCTATTCCTACACAACGCTAGTATGTGTACTCAATATCATTATGAGCTCGATATTGAATTCCTTAATGGCATCTTGTTTCTAAAGAATTTTGGCCCTAGGAAGGATTTTGAAGAAGTCTGAATCAATCATTTGAGATGGGGTCCCCAAAAGAGGAACTTCCACCTGGGGAAGCCTAGTCTAGGTGTTTTCCACCACATATCCCGCCTTCTAAATGCAACTTATATGCATTGGTGAAAGGTTATTGTGCCTTTGCTTCCCAAGGAAACCTAACCGCACTTTCTTCGGAAATGGGAAAGCGGTCGCGCAAGCAAGCGCCGGCTCTGCGCGCATGCGCAGAACGGTGGGAACCTTGTGTGGTAGGCTCCCTGCAAGTGAGCGTTCGCTTCCCCCGGCCGCATTTTAAGCAGCGCACCCGGAAGGCCAGGCCTGCGGGGCAAGATGGAGTTCCTGCAGGTCCTGAGGCGAGGACTGCAGCAAGTCAGCGGCCACAATGGCCTCCGAGGCTGGCTGCGAATGCTCTTCAGGTAGGCGGCGGAGCCATGCGCCCGGCCTCTGGGCTGGACTTGAGCTGGCTGGGCTTTTGGAAAGGGGCGCGGGCTTGGGTCACCTTGGAGAAACCGCAGCTCTGGTCAAGGACAGCCGGCCCAATCTCTGCCTTTCACCCCCGGGCCATAGTCTCTTCCCGGGGTCTCCCAGAGACAGGACCACAGCCAGCTCCAGACACGGCTGGGACGTGGAGGCGAGGGCATCTCGGCTGCCCCCTGCCCTGCTTCCTGGAGCGTAATGAGCGTTGCTAACCACGCACGGTGTGACCTTGGGAACGGTCTTTTTAACCCTTTATTGGCCTTCAGTTTCCTCCTCTGTGCGGTAAGGCGTTGCACAAGGTGATCGTAAAGGTCTCTGCTAGTCCTGACATTCGCTGAATCCGACTAGCAGCATCGTCCGTGGAAGCCGGTTGGAGACCCCGAGTCGAATGACAGCTCGGACATTCATATCATTTTAAGATGATAGACTTTGGCTTCCTGATTTCCTGAAGGTTTTTACTAACTCCAGTGCCTCTGATAGGAGATAAAAGGAGTTTTGTAATTTGCATCTTTATATTTAGTGCAGTTTAAGTATATCGTCTGGGCTAGTTTATCCCGTCTTGTGCTCTTCAGGTGGCACTGGGGACAACAGGAGCGTGTGTTCTAGAGCTGCACCTGGAGGCGAGTGTGCAGCAGTGGGCGGGGTGAGCCTCGAGATGAAGGCTGGAAGTCTACACTAGTGTCCCTCCCCAAGCATCTCCTCTTTTTTCTTTAAAAAAAATATATATATATTTTATTGATTTTTTACAGAAAGGAAGGGAGAGGGATAGAGAGTTAGAAACATCAGTGAGAGAAACATCGATCAGTTGCCTCCTACACACCACCTACTGGGGATGTGTCTGCAACCAAGGTACATGCCCTTGACCGGAATCAAACCTGGGACCTTTTAGTCCGCAGGCCGACGCTCTAGCCACTGAGCCAAACTGGTTAGGGCTCCTCTTTTTTCTTATTGATGCAGCAGCCTTTGTTTCTTAAAGTCGGTATTCTCTACTTATGTTTGTGTTTTGAACAAAGAATCTTTCTAAACTATCTCTTTTCTTTTGGGTATTCACAGGGCAAATGATGTGAGGGTTGGTACATTAGTGGGTGAAGACAAATATGGAAACAAGTACTATGAAGACAACAAGCAGTTTTTTGGTGAGTGCAGTATCGGTATGAGTAACGGGAGTGAGCTTAAATTTTGATTTGACTCTGTTTCCCATAATGTACAAGTAGCTTCTTTAATGAATGTATAAACCTACATACACTCTTTTTTTTTTTTTCATAAAAACCTTGGGCAATTTTCCCATATTAGTTAGTTGGATGTATCTACAGCATTCTTTTTTGTTTGGATATTTGTGTATTTTTATTTAAAAAATTTTTCACAGCATTCTTTTTAATAGCAACACAATATTTCATTGTATAGAAGAACCATTATTTTTTCAAACACTACTATTTTTTTAAAATTTATATATATATATATATATATATATATATATATATATATATATATATATATATATTACTGATTTCAGAGAGGAAGGGAGAGGGAAAGAGAGATAGAAACATCAGTGATGAGAGAGAATCACCAATCAGCTGCCTCCTGCACGCCCCCCCATTGGGGACCGAGCTCGCAAACCAGGCATGTGCCCCTGACCAGAATCAAACCCGGGACCCTTGAGTCCACAGGCCAACGCTCTATACACTGAAGCCAAACACACTTTACTATCAATAGACATTTAGGGTGCCTTCAACTTTTTTTTTTTTTTTTTTTTTTGCTAGAAACAATGCTTCAGTGAACTTGCTAGTACCTACTTTTAATATTCTAAGAATAAATTTCTGTACATGGAATTGCTGAGTCTGAGTATATACATTTTAAATTTTAATATATTTATCTCAAGATTGTTAAGGCCCAGCTCTAGCATCATGGCCTAACTGTATACACCTTCCCCAAGGTTTTCTCCTTCACGTTCCCCTGCCTTATTGGATTACAGCTTACTTTTAGTTATTTATTGTCAAGATTGATCTCTCTAATAGAAGAAGCAAATCCTGGTTGAAATCTGTATTTCTTTATTATTTTTTGAAAAATATATTTTATTGATTTTTTTACAGAGAGGAAGGGAGAGGGATAGAGAGTTAGAAACATCGATGAGAGAGAAACATCAATCAGCTGCCTCCTGCACACTCCCTACTGGGTATGTGCCTGCAACCAACGTACATGTCCTTGACCGGAATCGAACCTGGGACCCTTGAATCCGCAGGCCTACGCTCTATCCACTGAGCCAAACCGGTTAGGGCTAAATCTGTATTTCTTTAAATAGATATGGTCATGTTTAAATTGCATTACTTTATATTTGTTGATTATAAAATAAACTCTATAAAGTAAATGCAGATTACCTTGTGCTTACTGGTTTAAAATCTATTATAGAGTTGAATTCAGTATTCCCTGTGGGTTGGGGCAGTGAGGAAGGGGTAGAAGGAATTGATACTTATTTTGCACTTACATGTCTGATGTTAAAGTAGATGTATATGTGTGATATTTAATTTTCACAGCAACCTTCAAATGAGGTATAAACATTTACTTTTATAGACAAAGAAACTGACTGAGTCTCATAAAATGTACCTAATATTCACAGATAAGTGACAGAATCTTGATTGGAATCCAGGTCTTTGCCCATCTTAAGGACCCAAAATAAATAGTCTTGTACCCCTAGCCAGTTTGGCTCAGTGGATAGAGCATCGGCCCATGGACTAAAGGGCTCCAGGTTTGATTTCGGTCAAGGGTATGTATCTCAGTTACAGGCTTGATCCCCAGACCCCCTCGGGGCATGTGTGGGAGGCAACCAATCAACGTGTCTCTCACACATTGATGTTTCTCTGTCTCTCCCTCCCTTCCACTCTCTCTAAAAATAATAATAATAAAAAATAAAGAAATAGTCTTGTAAATTGTGGCTAGGCCTCCAACTACTCCATAGAAATGTGTTAAACAAGGCTGTAGCCGTATTATTTTGATGACATGAACTGTCCTACTTATTTAACCATCATTTACATAGTTTGCTTATTATGTGTATTCAATGTCTGAAAGGATCTCTGGTAGTCATTTAAAAATATTTATATGGAAACATATAAGCCAAGTATGATTGCTGTGAGCACATTTCTCCTGCCCCATTTGCAGGAGGAGCACTTTCTCTCCTGAATACCCTGGCTGGCTGGGAACACATTCCCCTACCCTCTCCATTGCTTTCTTGGCATGGGTGGAAGCAAGGGTTCTCCCCTGTGGGAAAGGCCTGAGCCCCGCCCACAGAGGAGGTCTTAGTCCCTGTGCAGGGATTTTGCTTTGGCAGCTGCCAGGCTGTTGATAGAAGGTTGCCATACACTTCCTGGAGCTTGCCTTCACCATTACACCCTGGGTGCTATTTCTCTTATGTAAGAGCACATAAAAGTCTTAACTAAAAGGTTGTCTTCTTTGATATTTTGCAATTATGGTTTTTTGTGTTTTCTTTTAAAGTTATCTTTACTTTTTCACATTTTTCTAAATGTTGCTCTTTTCACTCAGGCCGTCACCGGTGGGTTATATATACTACTGAAATGAATGGCAAAAATACATTCTGGGATGTGGATGGAAGCATGGTGCCCCCTGAATGGTAAGCTAAGTCAACATTCTATTTTTTTTTTGGGCTGGGGGGAGATAAGGGGATTTGGCAATGTTTGTTTTATTATACAAATATTTATTAAATAGCTTATTTATTTATAAGGCAGTTAATGGTATTCTGAAAGCATCTGTCTCAGTTATATATTTCATAGTTTTTGTAGGTCAGGAATTTAGATAGTTGCAACCTGTGGATGGCTTATCTCTGCTCCAGGATTTCGGGCCTTAGGTGCAAGGTTTAAAAGCTGGATACCACAGCCATCTGAAGACTTCATTCAGTGTTTGGAAGTTGATGTTGACTGTCAGTTGGGGGCATAGCTGGGGCTTCCTCAGGCAAGTGCTGAGAGAGAGAGAGAGAGAGAGAGAGAGAGAGAGAGAGAGAGAGGCCTTGTTCACACTTAGTCTTAGAGATCGCTCAGTATCAGTTTCTCATTTCATTGGTTGAAGCAATTAGATAATTCTGCCCAAGTTTAATGGGAGAGACCATAGACCCTATTTCTTGATGGAGGTGTGACAACACATTATTTGTGGGGATATATAGTGGTGTAGCTGTTTTATGGGGAAAAACAATATTCCACAGTAACACCTGGCTGTGGGTGAAGGGAAAAGCAAAAAGAACTCTGCCGCTAATCTTTGGCAGCTCGACCTTAAGCAAGTTTCTTAATCTCTCTGGGACTTAGTTTTCTCACCTGTAAAATGAGAACCCCAAATTCCTTAGATCTCTAAAAACTGATTTTTATAACTATAAACTATATAACCATTTTGAAATGAAATTCTAATGCTTTTACTTAAATTGCCAAATATTAAATATTTCAAAACAAAGTACTGATTTTGGAGGTCAATTCCTCCCAGTGATACCTACAACAATCAAAGCTTAACTACAACCAGACTGTGCACAAAGCCCACAAAGGGGTGCACCAAGAGTGTCCACCTCAGGTAATTGGGGAGGCTGATCCACCGGGCCTTATAGGACACCTAACACAGAAAGCCACTCTATCAACACAGGGAAGCATAAAAAATGCGGAGACAAAGAAACAGGTCACAAATGACAGAAATGGAGGAAAGCAAACTACTGGATATAGAGTTCAAAACCACACTTTTAAGGTTTTTCAAGAATTTTCTAGAAACCACCGATAAATTTAGTGAGACCCTCAAGAAATCCAGTGAGACTGCCGATAAATTTAGTGAGACCCTTGAGGTTATGAAAAAGGACCAACTAGAAATTAAGCATGCACTGTCTGAAATAAAGGATATTATGCAGAGTTCCAACAGCAGACTAGAGGATCACAAAAATCAAGTCAAAGATTTGAAATACGAAGAAGCAAAAATCACCCAACCGGAAAAACAAAAAGAAAAAAGAATCCAAAAATATGAAGATAGTGTAAGGAGCCTCTGGAACAACTTCAAGTGTACCAACATCCGAATTATGGGGGTGCCAGAAGAAGAGAGAGAGCAAGATATTGAAAACCTATTTGAAGAAATAATGACAGAAAACTTCCCCTACCTGGTGAAAGAAATAGACTTACAAGTCCAGGAAGCGCAGAGAACCCCAAACAAAAGGAATCCAAAGAGGACCACACCAAGACACATCATAATTAAAATGCCAAGAGCAAAAGACAAAGAGAGTATCCTAAAAGCAGCAAGAGAAAGACAGTCAGTTACCTACAAGGGAGTACCCATACGACTGCCAGCTGATTTCTCAACAGAAACTATGCAGGCCAGAAGGGAGTGGCAAGAAATATTCAAAGTGATGAATAGCAAGAACCTACAACCTAGATTACTTGACCCAGCAAAGCTATCATTCAGAATTGAAGGTCAGATAAAGAGCTTCACAGATAAGGAAAAGCTAAAGGAGTTCATCACCACCAAACCAGTATTATATGAAATGCTGAAAGGTATCCTTTAAGAAGAGGAAGAAGAAGAAAAAGGTAAAGATACAAATTATGAACAACAAATACATATCTATCAACAAGTGAATCTAAAAATCAAGTGAATAAATAATCTGATGAACAGAATAAACCGGTGAATATAATAGAATCAAAGTCATAGAAAGGGAGTGGACTGAC